AGGAAGCTAAAAGTAGAACTTTGTCGAACACTACTGTCAAGGGAACTTGAAAAAGACAGCTCAGGATAATACTTCAAAGTTTCATGGCTGCGGAGGCCTACTTGCAAGTTCCACCGATCAGCCGTTTGAACTTGTTTTCGTCTGCCAAGCTGAACTTAAGCTTAAATATATCTATTTTGATAGACTATGTGTTTGATACATGGGTAAACGTCAAAAAAAAACTTTTGTGGGACCTCAAAGTAGCTTCCTAAGACGATTTCATCGCTTGGGAGCCTTACTTTCAAGTCCCACCGATCAACCGTTTGAACGCGTTTTCATCTGCCAAGCTAAACTTGAGCCTACATGTATCCATTCTGATAGATTATATGTTTGAAACATGGTAAAACGTCAAAAAAAAAACTTTTATGGGACCTTTAAAGTGGCCTCCCGAGGCGATTCTTCACTGTTCTTGAGCATAAGTTTCAATTCCTTCCGATCAGCCCCATCAACTCGTATTATTCTGCCTGGGTAAATTTAGGCTCTAAGGCATCTGTTTTGATAGAATATGAGAGTGGAACATGATAAAATGCATGGTCAATGGCGTATGATAGCTAATAGTAGTGACTGCAAAGAAACGCGAAAACGTCATTTTTCATGAGAAATAACTTGAGGCGATTGTGTGTGATTGATCTGCCACTCATACTAGAAGGTAGTCTAGAGTCATGACAATAACTTCCGAGTAAAATTACGAGGTGCTCAGAGGTGCAAAGTATATTTTTTGGGTCCTACTTTTGCGATTTTATTGAAAAAACTGACTATGTCTAAGGGTTAATCTAGAGCATTAGACATGATAAAAAAGAATTGTTTCAGCATGGAACATCTAGAAATTACCTTATATTTTGTAAATAAAGTACCCAAACACTTTCAGTTACGGTGAAACAACGAAAACAAGCCCTTAAACACAGCACTGCCGCTCGGTAACTGGAAGCGTACTCAAAAGTGCTTCGCGCGCCGCACTTCCCAGGCTTGTCACATCTTTGTTAGTATTTCAATCTAGATGATATTTCATAGGAGTCTTCTTTACAGTATGTACTATCGATCTACGTATTGAAATCGAACTTTTTCCAAACTTCATTTTTCCGATTTATTGCCGCTTAAATCGGGCTATTGGACCATAGTGCGCCGCGGACGGTTCCGTACCTTTAGGGATATCCAAAGCTAGGGCGGGACGCAAATCGAGGAACATATCTGGAGGGGGAGTCAATACTTGGGAGAAAGTAGAAAACCTAGGGGAAGGTCAAACCCCCCCCCCCTTTTTCAAAAGTAAAAAAGTTGCGGATATGAAGAATCCGGGTTGGCACCTATGGGTATTGCTTCATTTTTAAATGTTTATAGTATTTTCTTCCCCTATCCATGTAGCACAGTACAAATACTGAAATAAGATTAAAATTTCTTTACCTCAAAATTGCAGAAGGTCAGTACCTAAATGCCAATTCTGAACAATCAACAACAGTATGAGTTACATGTGGATTACATTTTGCAAGAAGGAACCACTATTTCTGGCTTATTTTAGAAACAACATACGTGCCATTGGTTTCTCTTGGCAGAAGTCGTATTTTGTTCGAAGACAACGCTCGCGACGTGTTGTTAAAACAAGCAACAATCACATTTTGTTCAAAGTTTTTTTGTATTGTGGAGGGGGGGGGGGGGGTTATTTTCGCGGGGAAAAGTTGGGAACCACTGAGGCAAAATTGTTGTGCATCAACTGCAACGTGCTCAGAGCAAGTCATTTTTATGTTGCTGCCCAAGACAACGCTGTTATCTAACCTAAAATTTGAATTTGCCCTCTCATTGGTTGCTCAGTCACGCAAAAGAAACAAGAAAGAAAACTGAAACAATAGACCACTAGATAAGGTACGAATTTCAGCATTCTGATACATGTTTCTTAACCAAAATTTTACGTAAAACACGATGCACACAACGAAAATTACCGAAATTAACTCCTTATGAAGATGTTTAATGATTCTTGATGCGTGAATTCAAACCACCCGCTCATGAAAACTCAATGCTCTACGTGATTTACATCGCGCGCTAAACGTTATCATGACAGTCTCTGCGATATAAAAATCCGGCAACCTCAATCTTGACGCTTTGGCTCAGTTATAGCAAATTGCTAATAGTTTGAACGACACATGGTGGGGGATGAACATAGCTCGATTGAGAAGCTTGCTGATTCCGTTGTAGTGGGCGATTTGACTCACGTAGAGCTTTGAGTTTCTTGTGAGCGGGCAGTTCAAATTCCTCGTAACCAATGTGTTATAAAAACGTTAATAGCTTTGTTAGGAGTTGGTTTCAGTAATTTTCGTTGTGTGAATCGTTTTTTACGTGAAATTCTGGTTAAGAAACATGTATCAGATCGCTTAAATTCGTACCTTGTCTAGTGGTCCATTGTTGTTTCGAACAAAACACAACTAGATAGTGGTTCCTTATTGCAAAATGTAATCCATGAGTCAGAGAGACAGTAAGTTGTGATACAATGAAAAATTGTGACTTATTTCAATTTTTTTGCAAAAAATTTTGAAAAGTGATGTTCCTTCAATTGGTAAACAGGCAACATACACAACTTTCCGATGCAGTGGCAATAATTGTACCATGCAAGTTCAATTTATTGCAATTTGTGCTACTTGGGTGCCTCACTCGCAGCCAAATTTTACACCACTGCTGGTTTGAACTATTCGTATCTTTTTACTACAGGAAAACTGTTCCGCTTTTTGATTGGTCAACGAGTTTTTAGGCTTCATGATGCTCTTACGGCCGTAAACAAACAAATAAAATGGCGGCTCACTGTAACATCGATAAGAAGCTAAATTTGACAAAAATTTCAATTATGCGGCAGTAACAATTTAAACTAGCATATCTGCGAATAACTGCGAAAAGCACATGAAAACATTGTTAAATCGCCTTTCACCTTTATTAGAGTACCTATATTGAGAGAGTATGGCCACTGGGCCCAATGGAGAGGCTTAGGACCCAAAAATGGCGGTGTTTTGTTTTGGTTTTTGTGGATGGGAGGGAGGTCATTGCCAACTTTTGACGGTTATCACCAACCGCACTTGCTGCCAACCTTACTACATCTAAGATAATTTTTCTCAAAAATTGCACACGATTAGCCTTGAAAATATGTAAAGATGTCGCAATAGTGCATTTGAGTAAATTCCTTGTTACGATGAGCAATGAAAACTACATTTTGAGTCATTTTACATTACATTAATATATGGCGTCCGCCATTTTTGGGTCCTAAGGGCTCCATTCAGCCTAAGATGGCTGAGCCAATCAGAGGTGGTAACCCCAGTGGCCATACTCTCTCCATACAGGTACTCTAACCTTTATCGCAGGAAGATGTAAGATGCCATCTTGTTTGTTTATTTACGGCCGTAAGAACATCGTGTCAGCTAGAGTACCTTTACAGACAGAGTATGGCCATTCGTATCTTTTTACTATAGGAAAACTGTTCCGCTTTTTGATTGGTCAACGCAAGGTAGATTTACACAGGTATGGACAGAACGAAACAACTGGCCTCTGATTGGCTCTCCAGAGGCCCCTTAACTTCCGCCATTTTGTATGTTTTGATTATTTTGATTTATTATGTTCGGTTTATTGTTTGTCAAAATTTTGTGGGATTTTTTGTACAATTTTGATAATGCGATATTAATTTTGACATTTAAACGCACAAACGTTTGAATGTTAATTTGATTGTAATTTAATTAAAAAACGGGCCCCTTACGTAGTCGTAACGTAGTCATGTGACACGTACTGAGGCTCATGGGAAATTTTCAACTTGTTCATACCTCGTCACCTTCCAGGCAAAGTATAATAAGCGCCATGCGGCGTTCAAAAATTTCCGCCGCCATTTTATTTTTTTACAGAGAAATTGTTCAACGAAGCTGTCCGAAAATTTCACTGAATTTTCTTTGTGCTGCCGTTAAAATTTAGTGAAATTTCCAAACAGATTCAACCAACAATTTCTCAGTAAAGAAATAAAATGGCGGCGGAAATTTTTAAACGGCGCATGGCGCTTGTGATACTTTGCCTGGAAGGTGATGACCTGTGTAAATCTACCTTGGGTCAACGGGTTTTTAGGCTTCATGATGCTCTTACGGCCGTATATAAACAAACAAGATGGCGGCTCACCGTAACATCGATAAGAAGCTAAATTTGACAAAAATTTCAATTATACGGCAGTAACAATTTAAACTAGCATATCTACGAATAACACACGAAAAACACATGAAAACATTGTTAAATCGCCTTTCACCTTTATCACAGGAGGATGTAAGATGTGCATAACCTCAATCTTCCTTGCTGATAACAGCCATCTTGTTTGTTTATTTACGGCCGTAAGAACATCGTGTCAGCCTATTTTCACGCGACCAATGAAAAACCGGAACAGAAATGGCCATACCCTGTCTATAAAGGTACTCTAGTGTCAGCCTATTTTCACTAGAGTACCTGTATAGCGAGCAAAGACATTGAATCACGTAGACCTAGAGTACCTATATAGCGAGAGTATGGACAGATCGCTTCATGGAGGGCTTAGGGCCCAAAAGTGCAGCCACCCTTCTAACCAACTTCTAACGCACAAAATTTCACTGCCAGTCTGCAGATTCCAATTCTAATCAAGATGGCTAAGAATGTACATAAATGAGCGTTCTTCTGCGACAACGAGTAAATTTATGCAAAAACTAAGTCAAATACGTGCTTTATGAACGATGGTTCGTAAAAATTGTATTGGTAAAGCGCTCTGGATAATTGAGATTCATAGGTTGGCTGCATTTCTGGACCCTAACTTTATACACGGAGACATCGGTGAAGGCCTGATGGATTTTCGGAGTTTCACATCTGTCTAAACTCTCGCTATACAGGTACTCTAATTTTCATGCGACCAATGAAAAACCGGAACAGAAATGGCCATACTCTGTCTATAAAGGTACTCTAGTTTGAAATATTAATTGTTTCATTACCATCCGAATGGTTGAAGAGTTGATGTAGCAAGGAGCTGTATAAAAATACCCGCTGCAAATATCATGCCCAAGAAAGAAGCTCGAATTGCGATCTATGAACAAAAGAAACATCAGGTTGGAGTTAAATAAATGAGATACTTTAAAAATTTCATGATGACCATCTATGAGTACCTAGGTACCTACACAACTGGGGAAAAATAAATCATGCTTAATGAAGATGAAATACAAGGAAAGGGTCAGTTTCTTTCCATGCAGCCCATATGAAAACTGGAAGTAAATCCACCTATGTCTATTCCAGTAGAGTAAAGGGGTGGTAAAGCATTTGGACAACTTGCCGGGATGAGTATAGCATCTTGGCAACTCCCCAAAATAAATACAAGTTCCTCCGGGTAGGTTCAATGGGTTTGTAGTACCGTACGGGGATTTACGAATTAATGTGCTAGGGCAACTTCTGCTAGAGGCACAATGGTACCAATTAAAAAGCACAAGATATCTTACTACAAAATTCAGTTCTGTTATCTTTTATGCTAATTGTGCTGAAAAAGGAACCAAGGCCTGAAAAGCATTCACGATGTTGATCCTTATATCTAAATAAAATGTAAACTGAAAATCACTTTTTTTATTTTTTTAAAAAACTCTTATGATAAAAAAAAGAAAAATAAGGACTGCCTTAGAAAATAATATCAAGAAATTCAGCCCAAGTTAAATTTTGAGATTCTTTGACATGGTTGGTATTCCTTACAATCTTCCGAATAAGATGAGCTTATAAAATTGAACTTTCTATGTAACAATTTCGAGAATATTACGTCTGAAAAGTGCATTTTGCAGTCATGTAATACACGTTATCGCGTAAAGAAGCGGCCTCTGATTAAAAGTGCGGAGCCTTTTGTTTTCTTTGAGGTGACATACCGTTTTAAATCCCCTACCGGCAGGGTGATGAGGAAAAAAGAGCTTACTTCTCAAGCATCTGCATTTCCCCACTTCGAAATTTGAGTAGGTAAAACTGCCGAAAAATACACTATTTACACCCGATTTTCTTTAGATTAGTACATTGAAAATAAGATGTTAATAGCTCATCTTGATCCTCCTTGGCTCTCCCTAAGTGCCGCCCTGAGGGGCCGATGCAGGGACAGTTTGGCACCAAAAAAGTGATTGGGATTACTGGCTCATACCGCAATCACACGCTGAATGTGGGAGCAGAATCAAGGCTTGAATGTGGAAGTCATCGGCCCGATGCCTGAATTTGGCGCGAGACGCGCAAAATTCAGCAACAATTCTCAGCAACCATCAGACCAATTTTTAATTTGTTTGAACTTTTCGAGTAGATATGATACAAATTTGGATGAAAATAACTTGAATTTGCCAAATTTCAGGCGTTGGGCGATGACTGCTGACTTCCACATTCAGCGTGTGATTGCGGCATTTTTGGAGTTGTTGAATGGTTGTGTGAAAACGACCACTCAGTCCAAAATCACTCTGAATACTGACCAGCCCATCCGGAATTTTTCCACCTGCTTGTTCTCCCGGCTCAGAGATGAGTCAGTCCGTCCCTGCTTCTACCCATAATGAAACTTAGAGAATCAGCGATTTGCACCGCTCCCATTGGCAGCAGATTGCTCTCTGATTTCACTCGAATGGCAGACAGTCAATTAGGTACTTCATGACCAACATAAAAATTTGAAGTGCTAAATTCCACTTACTTGAAGCGCAAAGCCTCTCAGAAAAATCATCAGCACTAAGTTCAAAATGAGGTAATACAAAGGAAAGACCCAAAGTATATTTTCATACACATTGAAGCGACTATGAATCGGAATCAACTGAAGAAAGAGGATGAATGCAAATGAGGAAGAAGTGCAAAAACAAAATACGCTCAATCTGCCGGGATACGGTAACATCGTTGTTTCGTAAGCAAGCACTGATAAAAATACTGGTAATGTAGTACAAAATATGTAGTTAAAGAGAACTGGAAATGCAATTGCGGACATGTGTCCTCCCCTCCGGCCACATAGAATAAAGCTTATAGTATAGAAAATGCTGGAGCGGGAGTGCGACTTTTTGCGACTTGCGACTTGGTGTAATGCATAGAGAAAAAAAAGGAGGTGTTTGCATCTTGAGGATTTGTACCCACCTACGTCATCAATGTAAACAAGACGCTCGTTGAGGGTTATGTTGACGCTGTAAAAACGGACCATAATGTCCGATTTTTTTACTTGAATCAACTCTTTGGGTGCGTTCTAGAATTCATCTTTTTGAGTAGCGATTCAATCCAAATCCATCCAAGCGTTCCTAGGTTCCGTGATTCCATCCAGGTTGATGAATCCAAGCGTTCTTGGAACTCGGAGTGAGTGACTCATTAGGGTGGCCCAAATTTGGCGATGTCGGAATTTTTTTGGTCTTACCCCCTAGAACTGTTCCATTTGATCAAAAAACACTCTCTGCCAAGTTTCAGCCAAATCGGATAATATTAACCCGTGCCGACAGAGCCATCTTTTTTATATGGGATTTTACATTGAGAAACACTTTTTTCCGGAAAAATCCATTTTTCGAAAAATGTGTAATTTCTAGAAAAAATCTGAGGTCATATTCGGCTTCAGCAGGAAAAATTGAGTGGGGAAACATGTATTGGACACTTCAAAAAAAATTTTTTATCCCTCGTTATAGCGGCGAAACAACTGAAACATCTAGAAAGCGCTAAATAAGGGTAAAATGACGGTGATAAAACTCAAATAATTACGTGCGTCTGCATCTGAAACAAGCAGTTCCAACGCCAAAGCGTTGGAGGGCGCTTCTTTAACACTGCGCATG